GATGCTACTTTGCCATGCAGGTTTCCGAGCTCAGCATAGCCTTCAACCGCTTGAACGCGTCATCTTGGCTTGCTCCCCAGGACCATGCGCTTGACTTGTTGAGGAGTGAACGGATGGGGGCAGTTACGTCCGAAAGGTGCGGCAGGAAGCGTCCAATGTGGTTCACCATCCCCAGTAGACGGCGAACGCCTGCAACGTCCGTTGGCGGAGGTAGCTCCCGAATGGCACGAAGCTTGTCGGGATCCGGCGAGATACCATCTCCATCGACGACGACTCCGAGGAACTTGACCGAGGGAACCCGGAATTCAGACTTCTGGTCGTTGAGCTTGACCCCGGCTTGCTCAAGTCGTCGGAGTACCTCAACAAGGCGTTGATCGTGCTGTTCAAGGTCTCTACCGTAAACAGGGACATCGTCGATGATATTCACGACGCCAGGCAACCCCTCCAGGACACGTGACATTTGACGTTGAAAATATTCGGGTGCAGACGCCAGACCAAATGGCAGACGACGGTAGCAGTAGCGACCAAACGGCGTGATAAACGTCGTTAATTCTTCGCTTGCGTCGCTGAGCTTGATTTGGTGGAAACTGGAGGTCGCGTCGAGTTTTGAAAACACTTTGGCCTCGCCTAGCTGCCCCAGGATCTGGTTAACCGTCAGCAGGACGTATCGCTCCCGCTCGATGACTTGGTTTAACTTGGTCAGGTCGACGCACAGCCTGTACCCACCCGACGACTTGGGGACGACGACAAGTCCGGAGCACCATGCTGTCGGCTTGTCAACCCTTCTGATGACACCTTGAGCTTCCATGGCATCAAGTTCTCTCTGGACGACGTCGAAGAGCGGCAGAGGTATTCGTCTTAGAACACTCAACGAGTATGGCTGAGCCCCTGACTTCAGACGAATGGTGTACTTTTCTTGAAGTTCGCCCAGTCCTTTAAAGATATGGGCGTCAGAAGATGGAACACACCCGACACGAGCGTTAGTAGACGGAACACGTCCATCCGTTTTTCCGGACTCGGTGGAGGTGGTGTTCACAAACTTGACCACGCCGAGAGCTTCTATCGCAGGTAGCCCTAGAAGCGGTGTAGTTTGAGACCGCATGACGTAAAGCTGTTGGACGGTGCTCTTGTCCTTCCGCGCCAGAGTAGCTTGGAAAGTGCCCAACCAGGCAGCGGCTGGTTCCCCGGGCCGATAAGCTCTCCTTCTACTGCGTCGAGCTTGCGAGGAACGCCTGGAAGCGACGGCAGAACGACGGTGACGTCTGCTCCCGAGTCCACCTCGAACCTTGTCACGTGGCCATTGACGCTTACTTCGACGTATCTTGCCCGTTGCGTACGAACAGAGCAGAGTTCGACGGAGCCCAACTTCTCCTTGCGCTTCTTCGCGCGACAAACGTCTGCAAAATGACCTTGCTTTTTACAGAAACTGCAAGTTGCCTTCCGCGCTGGACAATCCTTGCGGTCATGCACAGAACGCCCACAATTGCCACAAACTGCGTTGTCCAAACGCTGCAGCCGGTTACGTGCGCGCGACGACGGAGCAGATGACGCAGTCTTTTTCTTCGTCGCGTCGACGTTCAAGGCCGCTGCAGCTTGCGCCGACCGAGAAGCGCGCTCCCTCTCAGCATCTTCGTGCTGGCGGGCTTGTAAAAGTGCTTCGTCAGCGGTGAGTCGTGTGGAACTGCACAGCTGGTCCGATAGCTTCTCGTCCAATAAGCCGACTACGAACTTGTCACGCACTAAGCGGTCTTCTATCTCGGGGCTGTTATAGTTGCAGCGTCTGATTAGGGTTCGAAGCTCCGTGAAAAACGCGTCGACTGCTTCCCCAGGCTGCTGAGTCCTGCGGTGAAATCTTCGGCTTTCGTAAATTTCGTTCGCCGGATGAACGAAGTGTTGAGTCAGCCTCTCCTTGACGGCGGCAAACGGTTGCGTCTCCGGGGTTGGCACGCCAAGCGAAGCTAGTACGGTACGAGCTTGCGGACCCATGCAATAAAGCAACGTTCTTACTTGCGTTTCGTCGCTTGCAGAACGTAGACCGGTGGCGAAGGCGTAGTCCTCGTAAGTTTGAATCCACGTTGTCCATTCGCCTGGGCTCGTGAAGACGAACGGCGACGGCGGTTGAAGCCCCGTGGCCCCGAGGTGGACGCTCTTTTCTTCGTCCGGCATGGCGGTAGCGCTGACTACGAGCAGGTGTACCCCACTCCTGACACCATGTTCAGAGCTTGGGTGCTCTGGGCGCGACGCGCCAGCCGGGCAGACGAAGCAGACGAGGGTAGACGAAGCAGACCCACAACGTTTATTCTCCTAGCATCAAGTGGCGAAAAGTACCCCGCATCTCGCGGCGCACGCGCTTATCTACATCACGATGCGCCCCTGGCGCCATCTCTTGGTCACCCCTACAAGCGTGTCGACGCTCGCCGGTATACAATCTTCGTCACCGCGCCGTCCACTTCCAACCCGGAGACCGGGTACGGGTTTGGACACCAGTACGGCGCCGCGGTCTCAGCGAGAAGCTTCTGAAACGCTATTTCGGACCCTACAAGATCATCCGACGCCTCGGCGATCTTAGCTACGAAGTCCTTCCCGACGGAACGCGCCCATCTGCAAGACGTCAGCCGCGACCCGAGGTGGTGCACGTCGTCCCGCTGAAGCCGTATTACGAACGATAGAACTTTCCACTCTCATCGACGGGTGAACTGTGAACTGCGGCTCGCGATTCTGCTGCCTTTTTGTTTTGGATTTGTTTTTGTTTGTTGTTTTTCGTTTTGTGCTGCATCGGGACGATGCACTCTTTAAAGGGGGGATAATGCCGCGCGCAGGGTCACGGACTTGTAGAAAGTTCTCGTTCATTCTTGCTGCTGACATAACAATCGTTCATCCCTGCTTTTGTTGTTCTAGAAAGTGCTTGTTCATTCTCTCCCCCAGCGCGCTACGCTCGAACCTTCTCCGCCGAATCTTCGAGATAGTGACTCACTCTAAATAAGAGGCCGCCCGCGACCTTGTCGAGTCAGTCTCGCCCCAGCGCTTGATCCTGCGGTTTCGCCGACTTCGATGCCCGCGACGCTCTGTTATTATATTTTGTATTCTTGTATTTTTGGCACAAGTTCGCCACATTAAACGTTTATTTCTTCCTGTTTATCTATTGTTTTTTGGTCACCACCCGTGACAATATATCTAAAATAATTTTAAAAAATAAAGAAACTTACAGAATGTTTTTTTTTTAGAAAATCGACCTCAAACGTTCAACATTTGTTATTTCTTACAACGTTTAGGGGAAGGTAGCGGAGCGGCTGTTCACAAGATTATAATGACGATATTATATATATAATGGTCTTGCTTTGAGCTTTCTATAGACCCAAAGAAAGAAAATGTACCTTAAGTACAGACAAAGCAATGTCCTGTCAAATTTGACGAAAAATCGACCTGACTGACGAGGTTGACATTAAAAAAAAACTAAAAAAAACAATCAAATTCCTAGAAATATTTGAATACGTCAACGTATCTTCATAGCACTTATTAAAAGAGGGAAAAAAGTTAAATAGGTGTAGAAAAAACACTAGCGCCAGCAGCGGGTGTCAAACACGAGACCTGCGACGGCAGAAAAACACTAGTTTTCGTCTGCCACTGCGGCTTCTACGCTTCGTAACTCGAGAACAAAAAATCTGGGGAACATACGGTTTGCGCCCTTCCTCATTTGAGAAATGCCCCGAAAACATGTATTTTTTTGTCAAAAGTCGAAATTAGACTTTTTAGCCTGCCCGATTTGAGATGAAAACAACCGTATATATATATATATATATATATATATATATATATATATATATATCAAGAAGGAGAGTAGAAAAATCCTATCGCGTTTTCCTTCCTCTTTTTTCATGCCTTTGTCAAAACTGTGCGATATGTAGTGAAATATTTCTCCCGCAGAGAGAGGGATAGTCCTCTCTGGTACGCTGAAACATGTCGAACGTATGACTGTGAAAACCAACTGACTGGCCCTGCACGAAATATCTACATATGGCTTCGGAGGCACGGCTACTAAGCCTCATGCGAAACGATTAACTTACAAACTGATTTCACGCTTGTCATAAAGTAAATATTAAGGTGTATTGCACGAACGGGAATTTGAACGAGTTCTCACCATGATGTGGCTCTTGCACTCAAATATGGAAAAGAGTACTCCGCCTAGTGTTTTTATGATGTGGATCATACGCGGTCCTCGCCAAATGGCACTGTATTAAACAAAGTAGCAACTTTAAAAAAAAAAAAAAAAAATTCCGGGTCAGCAAAAGCATACATATCTTGTGACTCATCTGTCTGCTGCAAGTATTTTCATTGGAGACGCTGCCGAGCGACACGTGGGAGAACTTGAAACCCACTCATACCCGCTCCAAAGATTCAGCTTTTTTTTTTCCTGGTAAAATTGGTTTTTGATCACGCCAGGAACGGCGAAGTTTAAGTTAAGCGCAACAGTATTTTTAAGTTTGAATTTTTTGTATATTGTTTTGCATTCTTTTACGCACCCTGTGGGCGTAAAAGTTGTGCACTTAGAGTCTATTACTTAAATGCTTGGTGAAAGATACCACATTTGTCGGGTCACAATAGGGAAGTAATTTCGGTCTGCTGTAACTCTTGCTACAGGTGCGATAAGGTAAAGGAAGCTAAGAGATAACGGAGGGCCACCGTTACCACAAAAGCTAAACTGCCACTTATTTTGTGCGGACATCACAACCATCGTTGACTATCAGCCTCTTTCAAAGGCAATTTTCAAAGTAAAATATATAATCATCAGGGGATGCTCTCTTTGATTTCACATGTGTGGGCGTTTACTCATTGATGTCAGTTTGCCGAGTAAGATTGTGTTTCGTCTAGAGACACGTCGAAGGAGCGAAAGGAAAAATATCCCTGAAATTATCTCAGAAGTTTCTGAATGTCATACTTTTTTTAAAAAAGGGCCGAGCTATGCAATGCAATTATTATGACAAAAATCAACTACAACTCACCATTGATGTGATGATGTATTGATGATATCTTGAATCCATTGATTGTTTCATCGCCTGAAACAAGGTAAGAAAGGAGTCAATCGCCATGAAAATTATACGCAGTATAACCGCTCAGATATAAGTTGATGCGCTCCAGAATACTTTACATAGGATTAAAGGAAAGTTCGTTTACTTGAACGTTCTTAAATTCAGTCAATATCCGATATTAAAATGTTCTGTTAACAGAACCAACGCCTCGTGTAGGATAATTATACGAATGCATTGTGCGGTACAGAAAATAAAAGCGACGAAATATTGATGCCCGCGATAATGCTTAAGATTTTTTTTTTTCATTCCTTGACTTCAACACTAACAGAAACGTTTGATTCTCATCGGTTCATTGTATCACGGTTATTTTGGATGGAATATGTAGACTATTCGCCCAAGGACCAAGGACAGATGAAATATTTGCCTTTGCACAACGTATCTGATATTGCTGCCTTGTCCGCACCTCATGGATTTAGGTTAAGTCCAAATGTTTTGTGATTAATTTTATTTGTATCAACCTAAGCGATTGTGATAGCTCTATCTCGTGATAATTTTGCTCCTTCTATCATGGTAATATACAGGCTATTTTTAATTTGAAGGTTTTTTTTAAGGAGGTGAGAATTATACGAGAGACGTCTTCACCATGTACTTATCAGGCTCGGTGGACATTTGATGAGCTAATAATCGTCGCGGTAATTTGAATAAGTAAAAAAATTGCCTTAATTAATCTTTTAAGTATTGGCTTTAAGGTGTTATGTTGCAACTGCATTATTGACGTCAAATACGCTTACAGGCCAGATAATTTAAAATAATTCGCGAAAATGTAACAGTTCTTCAGATGCTAATTATTAAATTTTCAAAATTTAGTGCCAGATGTCAAATTTGTTAAAAAAAGAGTGCCGCAAACCCTCTCCAATATGACGCTTTGAAGAGGGACGCAGCTGTTTCAATCATGTCTTCACAATATCGTTACCTTGTCCTTGGTGGTTGCGCCGACGACGCAGGTGGCAACGTAACTGAAACAACTAGGTCACTCTTCCAAGTGTCATTGTAGGCCGGGTTGCGCGCTCTTTTTGTGCACACTTCTTGAATCGGATAAAAAAAGAGTGAACCTGTATTAATTGATGTCTAAAAAACTACACGTTGTTCAATTTTTTTTAAATGGTCTGACCTTTAATGGTAATTTCCGTTAATATTTCAACTTCAACATAATACCGAATACCACTAATTAAAAAGCTAATGAACAAATTTTGCATGATTAGCCAACTTACCTTGCCGGCAATGCCGCCGACTAGTATCCCCTAAGCCTGATAAATATACGGTGACGATGGCAACCATATAACCCTCTCCCACTTAAAAAGTACGTTGGTAATAAAATAAAACACCGTGTATATAAATATATACATATAGGTGAGGCAAAGTAGGTTGAGAAGAATGGACCGAAAAATTTTAATTATTCAGAGATACGTACTTTCGGAGTTGCCATACTAGGAAGTTTATTGTATATGTTACGAGAGTTTCGCAGAGAGTCTCGGCTTGGTCAGGGGCCTAGCCTCTCGGCGAAACTGTCGTAACATATGCGTTCTTGTTTTTTTTTACTAATTTTACAAACGCGAGTGTTCAAACCTTCTCTAATACCCTCTTTGAAGGGGTCTTGGAGGTCAATTGAAATAGATAATTAAATAACCTTCCTACTATAGTAAAAACCGAAAGTATGTAAGTAAAACTAACGCACAGTGAAATCGCTACAGCCCTCGGATATAAGATACATGAAAGTTTGGGCACCCGGGGACATGCTTTATACTCTTTAAGGGATACTGAACCAAATTTTGTGCTAACAAAACAAGGCTTGAGCGATAGGCAGGAAGCTGCAAACCCCAAAGATATGACTCATATAGCGAAATATCAAACAGAATGCCGTATTTTTTAAAATAAATGTGCGATTGAAAAGGGCCAACGAGGCCAAAAGCCACGTGACGCCACGATTCTCATTCCCTCTGCTCTTCGCTTCGTTCCGTCGAGCTGGTGAACCGAAGCAAGGAGAGAAGCGAAGCCTCTTCACCCCTTTCTCAACTGTTCTAAGAGGATCGTGACGTCATAATTCTCACTTTATCGAGCCCTTCTCTCCCAAAAATACTGCCGTTTGTCTCAGATATTGATGTATGAATGACATCTTGGAGTTAGTAGGGTCCCGTTCAACGCTTCTGCGGCCTTCATTTGCGAAATCCAGACTCCGGTTCTGTATCCCTTTTAGTCATACCTACAATAACGCTAACAATATTTATACATTAATGGTTACTCTTCACCTATAATGCCTATCACATAAGGTATTCCGCAAGGTTCGATATTAGGACGCCTTCTCTTTAATTTATTCAATGTTGATATTATTAAAATAAATCAGCAGGCGATTTTTGTGATATTCACGAATGATACAGAAATATATTCCTTCTTCCGAAACCGGTGACAGGTTATTCGATAGGATTCATTTTACTTCATCAAGTATAAAAACAAAAATTGGGATAAAAAGCAATTCATAAAGAATAGCTGCCCTTTTTCGTCCGCAAACATAAGCCTGTCGTATTCTCTAAAATTCTCAGCTGCGCTATGAAACATATAAGTGGTGATTGGTAGTCTTTAAGGAGCACTAAAAATAACCAAGAGATATCGTGCTAACCTGTCCTTTAGCTAGTTACCTGGGAAACTGGTCACGAAATATTTCATGAACGTTGTAAGAGACTTTGCTTTGGTAGGGTCCGTTTGTTCTCTCATTTTACCTGAAGTTTGCGGAAACGTAAATTGCCAACAGCGACTTCTCCCGGTTTTAATAAACGGGTTTAAAATCATACCATGACTGAATGCTGCTGACGACATTTCAGACTGCATCCAAAGAACCATTTTCGGTCTACAAACATGACTCTTAGTAAATTGTTTTGGTATGATTAGTTAATGTTTGCTTCATTCAATAGCTGAAAACAAACTTAAATAAATTCAACATTGCTTGCTTAATGACCGAGCCCTTCTGAAGAGAATTGATAGAAATGAGGATAAGAGACCCGTCTATTTTCCCCTTTTCTAGTTAGGTCAACCACGCAAAATTAGTGACGGCGTCTTCGAAAATGGCTTGTTCTTGATAGGCCCGCCTGTTAGGTCTCACAAAGGCCAGTAACGTCGATTCTTACAAGTGCTTCTCTGTCAGAACACAATTCATTGCTTGCAAGAAGCATTAATAACGTTCTTTCCGTGCATACTTACGCACAAAAAATTACGTACTATGTAGCGCACGGATGGAAACTCGCGGGCACCGCGAGGGCCTCCATTAGTGGCGCTTACATCGCAAAACCCATAAGATGGGATGCGTGTAGGCATTGGCAACAATATAGGCAGAGAAGATGCAGAATAATCGTGAGCGGGTCTAGGAAATGTGACGGTGATCGTTAGATAGGCCGAGGGGGGGGGGGGGGGGGGAATTAGGGACATGGGAGGAGAGCTCTTTGGCTATGACTCACGCATTAGTAGTTTCCTCTTTCGCAATCCATCTCTCTCTCTCTCTTTCTCCATGTCTCTCTTTCTGGGAAATGTTCCTACACGTCGTGTTGGGTTTGGATCAAAACACGTTTTGAGACAACCAGAATATAGTATTTTCTAGTCTTTGTTCTTTTGAGCCCTCCTTTCAAAATCTGATATTCATGCAGTATTGAATAAAACAGAGCTAATCAAGATTCGCCACACAGTTTTGACCCACATGTACCTCTCTTTGTATGCGGAAATTCGCAGAGCAGTTCGGTTCGATTATGATGAAGACTTTTAGTAAAACAGAGACTGACGTGATTCTATATCTTCAATAAACAACCGCAAGACAAATCATAAATAAGTATAATGTAAACATATCGAAAAGCAATTTTATTGTTCTTTACCAGATAATAAAATTACGGTCCATATTTAACTTGTTGCCTATGGATTGTGTTTCCAATTCAATTGCACCAAGCATTGCCTTCTTCGTTTCGTTATTAAAAGTGAGCCGATCGTTTTTTTTATTCCAACTTAAACAATGACAATATTTCATGAGTACGCAGAGCGCCTTGAATCTGTGTTAGTGCAAATAAAACAGCGTAATATTTCCCTCTCTGATAAATGTCAAGACGGGAATATAGAATTTTCTTCTATATGTTGTTTCGTACGCAACACTACATCATAAATATATCCGCGGACGCTGAACAAGCACGCAGAAATATTGTAGACGGAACTACGCAATAACAGAGGCGAAGGGGCTCTCCCCAAAACATACAGTTGCCTCAAAGCGGCTGATGAAGTGCACCAAGTCATCCAGCCTGTACTGATGTCGGGGTACACTTATAACAGCATGGTACTTCAGCATTGATTGTATGCATGTGCTCTCTCTAGAGAACTGGGGATTGGCTTTCTCAATTCTGGATGCGCCTGTGCCGGACAACTGAGTATTTCGAGCTCAACCAAGTGTTTCTATACCTAAAGGGTTTAAAGTAATTGACACACAATCTAGGGTTATTCTAGCATACGGTAACCATCGAATATTTTGCGACTTTTCAGTATTTCGCGTAGAAATTATCCAATTGGTGCTTTTTTGTATTCATTTCGAAAGGAATAATTAAGGGCAGGTTTTCGATATTTGTCCAAGTGGGACAAAAGGTTTGGTCAAAATAATATTTTGTCTGGCAATTTAAGGCCCTAAAAGCAGCGAGAGAAGCGTAGGTATCATCAAACGTTATCATATTTTGCAAGAGCTTGGGCTTTCGGCACGAAATTGCCAAACACGTGACACCTTGATGCTTCACTAGCTGGTAATTTCGTTGTCAACTACTTTTTGAGTTCGAGATATCGACAGAAGGCGGTAATAGAATTTCCTTCTGCTTGTCTGCTTTTCAACTGACATATCTGGGCCTAAGTAACCAAGCAAGTGCCATAATTACGATTTGCTCCTTGGCTGTTTGGTTGCCCATTCGGAATCCTATGGCTCCAATTCCTGAGAAAATACCAGAATAAGGCTTCTC